AAGTAATTAATGTTAATGATATACAGGTAGTAAACAAGATTCGATGTCAGATACGCTACGAACGTCTACGCAACTACGAGTCGTAGCAGTGCTCTAATGAACTGGAAGCTACGTGGGTGTTTCATTAATATTACAACTGCATTATATTAAAATGTACGAGAGTATGTTAAGTAGGTGGATTGTATACATAATTAATATTTACATATCAAATGAAATAGAATTAATTTAGAAGATCATCAAACTCCCGTCACCTGGAATTAAAAAACTAGAAGTAGCGAGTGAAGTGCTCTCGTATAAGTCTATATGCAGAAAAAGCTGGAAGCTAGAACTTCAGAAAGCGCTAACTAGACTGCAGTGTTTCGTATAAGCTTTTATATACGATTAAAATAAACAACATAGACTTTCATTAGATTGCAGTAAAATAATGTACTTTTGCCTGAATTAGGTAAATATTCCTTATAACTCTACTCTATACTAGTTTATAGTGCAACTTGACCGGAGAAGTATCACGACCTTATAGAAAGGTTTAGGACGCGAAAAAAGACGATTTAAATCATGACAATATATTAAAAGTATATTACATAATCTTACAATATCATTCTACTATAAAACTTGTGTACTTCTTGTAAATATAAAGTTAATCTCTTAAACTTAAACTTGTAGAAGTTAATAAGATCTTGAAAGTTTATAACTCATTTGTACGGTATTCAAACACAAAAATTAAAAAAGATAGTTCATTCGTAATTTAAAATCGAGACTCGTTTCATTATTTATCTCCAGACAAAGTACGAGCTTTCTAAGTAAGCTTCCGCGTAAAAAGAGGTCGAGCTGAAAGCTCATGCATGTTAGCGAGCCCGCCACTCACCCGGCGAGATGTAAATAGGGAACAGTACTTATGTTCTGAATATGCCCTAAATGTACTATGAACTATATTCAATGCCTTTATGCCAGTTTTACAAGTGTTTATTATATTACAATTAAAACACAACTCTACAAGTAATTTATTAAAAACAAATTATTTTCACTTTTATTAAAATGATCGTATTACTTAAACTCAAAGTTAATTAAATTCGTTATTTGTACCTATAATTCGATGGTCTGATTGCAAAAAATGTAACGCATATATTCGCATTTACTCAAGATGACTATGTTAAACCACAAAACATTAAAAACTTGTTCGCTTGTAAAAAATATTTTAATAGTATTTCTCGTGCACCTTGTAAATTTCGTAGAGAAAAGTTGAGTAGTACTAGTTGTAGATGCATACAAAATGAAGAGCTCTGTAAAACTCAAGTAGAGAACGGAATGCGACCGGCGAGGCCTCTGTAGGTATGATTAAAAAGTCTCCGGTCTGCATGTTTGTAAAAGATATTAAAAATTTTAACTTCCATTTAGTACCGCTTGGATATCACAGATGTCAGTTGAAACGTTGATTGATTGAAATTGTAAACGATTTTTGGAAATTATTTTATTACGCTCAGGCAAAGGATTAACTTATTGGAATGACTACACTACTTCCTAAGACAAGGCGACCTGAGTGATACTAGAGTGTTGAAACTGCGGCGAAAGATTTTTAGGATGAGCAAGAATTACAAAAGTGGTAAGAACATTTTAATTTATTGCATCTTTGCGGACAAGAAAACTAACGAGTCATTCGTTCATCGTTGCTAAATACACTGCATCATATAAATACCTTTGCAACTCGATCATTGATGTTAGAAAATAAAGCGTAACAAATATGAAATATTGATGAAAACGACAGCTCGAATTTAATTGTAAAGGTACTTCCACACCTTCCCAATTACAAAGTTCAAGTGTATGTATAATCGGGAGACCGGCGCTGCAGCGGCGGCGGGGTTGCGGCGACGACCCAGTGACCGAGGTCGACGGCCGTGCGCCGCCGCGCCGCCTGCACCCGGCTGCCATGCAATTGACCCCGCACCTACAAATGGGAACTACCTATGTTTGCACTTAAGGACCCTTTTAACGCCTTAAGCGCTAGAATGCATTTTTCGCTGAATATCCTTAAGATAGATGTTTTCCGTTTTTTTATCTAAATCAATTAGGAAAATTCATCATTATTTTCATATTTAAGAGATAAATAAATCGATGTGTCGTGAATATTTTTATCCTGATTCTATTTTCCAGTTTTTTTTTTCATTTCACTTTAATTCATTTTTCTAACGTTAAGAAGAAAGTAGGCTCAACTACTAATTTCAAATTTGTCTGTAAATTATCTTACATTTAACCAAAAATATATCTTTCAACGCATGGTAATAGCGCGGTCCGAAAGCCCGCCATGGACCGGGCGCATAGTTCGAAGCATTATTTCAAATTCCGTGCCAACAGCGGTGCACAAAGCAAACCGTTGATGGCCTACAAACGAGAACGCCATTGTCTCTACATTCACAATTATAGCTTCGGTTTTCAGGTATCTTAGCGGTTTTAGATTTTCTTTGATAATGGATAGGATTTTTTGCTGTTGAGTTATTATTAATTTTAAAAACAATAATTAACGACTCCGACACTTTTATATACTCCGGTTTCTGATATATACAAACCGAAACGAAATAAAAAAAAAACAGATTTTCGGAGAATTTGAAGAATTATTTTTTCTGGGAGACAACTACTTCTGCTAGAATTACTTATTTCTAAAACGAAGATTTATTCGTTAAGGATTTCGCATGAATTTCTCCTTAGAAATCCCTTAATATTTCATGTTATATCCACTTCAGATTTAGTTGCAAAATTTTTGCTCAAAAAAAGTTAAAAACAAGATATCGTAACAATTTCAAATAAAAAACAACGAAACATCTATTTTATTTTGTTTTATAAATAACATATATCCAATTAAAGTTAAGCTTTGAATATTGTGATGATTTATTTTACAGTTTCAGTAAATACGTGAAACAAATGCAGCCGCGTTGAAAATAAATCAAAATTACCTTCAGCCAATTAGTGAGGTTGTTGATCCGGCGTATTTATTTGTTAAGCCAAATGTAGCAATTATACAGAGTTTGTGTATGTTTTTTACGAAATAAAATTTACTTCACATGTGCGACGAAAATAAATACTAGCGAATTATTCTAGTGGTCATTTCGATCAAGTAAAGGAAAATGCTCTCCAAATTTTTAAATTTATATTGATAAATTGGACGATTGCGTCCAACAACAACCATAAAGATTTTGTGGTTGGTTGTTGTTACAATTGTTAGTTTCAATAATGAATTTTTGATCGGAATATGGAAGGGATTTAACAAATGAATGCTACACCAATAGAGTACGTGTTAGAATTTTAGTTTGTTAGAGTCATTTTAAGAGATTTTTTGGCTATTCAGGCATAGAATTAGTACAACTTAAATTAATATTTAGCTCATTATACTAAATAACAAGTGTTTATTCAATGATAAGATTTTAAAATAATTTCGTGAATTCATATGTAAATTGTTTTAATATTTTAAAACATTAAATTATAATAAGGTACTTTACAGCGTAACTACAAATATAAATGTCCGTTAAGTTTATACGACAACTGAACTTTCCACCTAATTACACTGCTGTATTAATATAGGGAAAGCGGCATAAAAATAGGTCATATATTGGCGACGGAGTGAGAAAGAAAATAGTGCAACAAATTGTGGTATTGCTTTGTCCCGCTCTGCCGCCGGAAATCAATAATGGCATCTGGCCACGTGGAGCGACGAAGCCCGCTCCATTTACATTGGACAGACGTGAAAAGCTGACAAAACGTTTTAATAGAAAAAATATACTACAATACGAGGAAGTAAAAATGTTACAAAGTATTTACTTAATTTTTAACTAAACATTAAAATTTGTACGTCCTAAGTTTTTAAGTTTTTTTTTTTTGAGATACGTTCCTTTAAAAATATTTGCTTGAATTTTAATTTTAAAATTAAACTTATTGTTAAAGTTTTAAAATTTCTTTAAGTAAGAATAATTTACAATTAACACCACATAAATACAAATTGTCGTTTAATATTGTTTCATATTTCGCACCCTAACCATACTACTAGCGCCACCTGTTAGTTTTAATACGTTAATATCAAAACAACAAAAGGTTTGTGTCTACTGGCTATGTAGATTAAGGTGGTTTCTGAATTAACGCTACGAGAATAATAGAGGGCGCTATTGTATAGTGTATTCTTCTCCTGCTATATTGTTAGTGGCGCTGAAGTGCTAGCCTGAATACAAACAGTGACACTTATTTCCTCCAGAGGGCAGCCTAAGGCTCTTTGAAATTCGTAGAGTTGCGTGTTATTCAGGATTTGTTCATAGATGGCGTTTGAGTTGAATTTTCGTATTTGCAAGTCGATAAGATGTACCATAGAGGGCGCTGTTATATAACTTCAACCGGTAAATAAAAATTTGCAACAAGCCGCAATTATTTATCTTATCGTAATTTTCTTAGTTAGCAAGCTGCAAGTTTAGTAGACTAAAACAAAGTAGCGCCAAAACAGTGTAGGCGTTAACTAGAGCAGTTACGGCCTGTTTCCCAGCTACGTTTAACCTTTCGTTAGTGTTTTTCGTTGGATAAATTCTTGAAATTTGCTAACTAACTATGTAACTTGAGTTTTACTCCTTTGAAATTTAGTTTAACCTAAAACTAATGAATCTCTAGTTCATCTTAACTAATATTATAAAGAGGAAAGATTTGTTTTTTTTTTTGATTTTTGTATGTATTCGATTCACGTAAAAACCACTGGGCCGATTTTAAAAATCCTTTACCGTCCGAAAAGTAGTTTACCTGTGAGTAATATAGGCTATTTTTTATGATTGTTTAATTTCACGCGTGGGAGTCGCGAGCAACAGCATAATTCAAGTAAAGTAATAAAATAATTGTTAATTATCTAGAGGAATAAACTTCACAACTAGATCATTATAAGAGATGAAGACTAGAAAGATTTTTTAAACAGTAATTTACAGTGCTATCTATGGTTCTTCGGCATATAAAAAGTAGTGCATCATCGGTTGGACACTTACATGATGTCACCCAGCTTGAGCCGTGTGTGTATGAGGGCGCAGGTCTTGTGGTCGGTGGCGGCGAGCGCGGCGCGACGGCGGCGCGGCGGGCGCGGCGAGGCGGGCGGGGAGTCGGCGCCGATGGGCCGCCGCACGCCCGGCGAGCTGCCGCGCCGCCGCACCGACGCGTGCCGACCGCCCACGCCGCCCAGCATCCTGGAACACCATACAACAATTACATCTTGCTAACTTAAGTGAACTTTTCTAATATCATGAGAATGCACTCTAACAACTTCATCACGGAGACACAGATTCAACATCTGTAACGGCCACACTCAGAATTGTTAACATACTATTAACTGTGGGAGTCCTTGAGAAAGTCTACCTTTTAAAAGGTCTTTTTACATTTAAATCATAACCTACTTGAAAAATTTACTGAAAAAAAATCACATCCAACAGTTTTGAATGCTGTGAAAACGTCTACGGAATGCTCATATTACTGTAGAGTACACTTTTATTGCGAACATAAGTTTAATGCTCAAATTCAAAGCGGATATATCATACACCCGTTTAAGTTTTTGTGTCGTTATTATCTCTATATTACTTGTGATGACACTAAAACAATTAGTAACACATTTATGTTTCATTTCATGAAAATGTACTAACAACTTCATATAAGTTAATGATAATTGAAAAATAAGTACTTCTGTATTTTTTTTTATAAAAAATAACTTTCCATTAATAAGATGAAAACAAGACCATACTGTTTCCAGTGGCGGGATATCTCTGGAACGCAGCAACCGCGAGATTAAAGTCGACCACCTCGCCACAAAGTAACTTTCAAGTGCTTCAGATTGCGGCGTCGTATTGTTATTAGCTTAGGATGTATGCAGGAATTATATTAGCTTGGAAAAATATATATACCCTTATTTTTAAATCCTATGATTACAACACAGGTATACTTTTACAGATATAATCACACTTCATACTAACATTTTAAATGTGAAAGTTTAGATGGATGGATGGATGTTTTTTAGAGTTTGTAGCCTAAACGGCTGAACGGATTTCGACGAAATTTGGTATAGATGTAAAGGATAGTCTAGAACACATAGGTTACTCACTTTCGTTTTTAATTCCACGCCAACGGTGTTTCGGACGAAAGCTAGTGTATTAAAAAGAAAAAAATTGAAAGGATGTTTCCCTTAAATTGGATATAAATCAGTTTTATTCTGGTTCATTTGAGATTGTTACGGGGACGTTCCTTTACATAAAAGTACGAAGGGTTCATTCAATCTTACAATATACATTACAATGGATGAAGATTTTTTTTGGAAATTTTAAATAATACTCGTATATGACAAATAAAAATGCGATAAGTCTGTGGCGATAAGCACAAAACATAAATAATTAAATTGATTTGCCCTTTATGTTACACTTACTCCATCCTCGTGGGAAAAGAAAGTAAGTAGCCTATGTGTTCTTCCAGACTATGTTCTAAATCTATACTATTATAATAAAACGTAAACACACACTTCTTTGTTGCCTAAGATGTCAGCAATCACAGCATATTTTTGAATAATTTTTTTATAAAAAGCCGTATACTTACGTCACGCTTTAGGCTATACATTTTCACGCCATCAAACTTAGGACGTAAATATTTTGGATAAAACCCTACTGTGGGAAAGAGACCATAAGTTGCTGCTAACATCAAGAAAGGAAGATTGCTAAGATTTGTCATGTCATGTCATTTTGACATTAGCTATTGATAATTTGACACATGTAAACAATAAAATAAAATTTTCATAATTTTATGCGGATGAAGTACTATACTAAATTTCATGGAGATCCGTTTAGACGGTTACGGTACAAACTCTATCCAAAATCTATCCATCCACCTATCTAAACTTTCGCATTTATAATATTAGTAAGATTTAATCTAATGTAAGATTTTAAGAGTAAGTTTGTATAAAACAGATATTCGATTATCTTAGGTATTAAATGTTATTATTAAGTGTTATTCAGCCATCATCAAAAGTCAAGGAACAATCAAGAGACTCGACATAAGAAGCTCTTAACAGAAATGGTTAAGGCGATTATTTTAAGTGCACTTGAGCGGAGTGCACGGCTTGTGTAATACTGGCAATATATATTAATGCGGCTCAACACTTCTACACCGACACTAGATATTTCTCAGTCAACACTGTAAGTGAAAACCATTAGTTGAAATAAATATGGTTAGTATGATAAACTAGCTTTGGTCTACGATTCCGTTCGCGTGAAATTTAAAAACCAAAATGAGTATGAGTTCTTCTAGACTACAATTTACATTTATACCAAATTTCATCGAAATCCGTTCAGCCGTTTAGGCTACAAACTCTAACAAACATCCAACCATCCATCCATCCATCCATCTAAACATTCGCATTCATAATATTAGTATGAAGTTTATTAGAATAAAAATGATGTAAAGTGATTTTTTTATGTTCTTGAATGATTCCTAACATGACATTCGGAAATTTAAAAGGAAGGAAAAGGGACGCTAATAGATTTCGCATGTGGTAATTTTTGAGTATATGAATTCCACTGTATCCTTTAGCTTATATAGCAAAACTTTTAGCGATTTATGTGTCATTCGACTCGCACGTTTTTACTGTAAGAGTTTAAAATTAAAAAAAACCAAGTATGTCGAAGTCTTCCAGAAAAAAATTACAGAGATAAAAATACATCTATGTTAAGGATTAAGAAACTTCGTCTCAGTACTTAATATAATTAACATTTAGTCACAGAGCTATCTAAACTACGTCGTACGAAATTCAATTTGACTACATTCGTACAAGTTTCCAACTGTATTGGTTAGCAAACTATCCACAAACGTTCCTCAGTTCTAGGACAAATAATTTCCTCAGTCTCATGTGACGAACTTTATATACACCTGAATATCTGAGTTAACTTATCTTTGATTAATATTAACATGAATGCGCTTCAATAAACACAAATCCGTATTAAACTGAGGCAGTTACGACTAATGTATACTATCTATACTATTATAATAAAGCGTAAACACACACTTCTTTGTTGCCTAAGATGTCGGCAACTACATCATATTTTTGAATAATACTTTTTTTAATAAAAAGCCCTTCACTTGCATCACGCTTTAGGCTATATATTTTCACGCCATTAAACTTAGGGGGTAAATATTTTCGATAACAACACTAATGTGGGAAAGAGACCTTAAGTTGCTGCCAACATCAAGTATGCAAGGTTGCCATGCTTTGTCATCATGTCATGTCATTTTGACATTTGCAATTGATGATTTGACACATGTAAACAATAAAATAATATTTTTACAATTACATGCGGATGAAGCCGCACAGGAACAGCTGATCGATTTTTTCACATTCAACTGTTTATTATCAAACTCAAAATTAAGGAGTGCTCACCTCCATATATGCTCATAGGAATCAAAGCGCGACTAAACAGTTGTGCGATAGTTTAGTCTAGTCATTTAACTAACCATAGAGTATAGAACCTTCAGATACTCCTTATATCATTTATTTTGATGTATTTCTCTCGTCGTAAAATATGAGAACCTTTGTTCATATATCAAGCGACTGAATGGAGCGGCTTTAAAATTAAAAATGGCGTTGTTTTTCTTTTCTTTTTCTTAGAAACCTTGGTCCACAAATGTAGCTGATACTTCACTGTTATGCGTGTTTATCGATTGCTTTTTTTCTGTTCTATTTTAAATAGAGAACTCGTGTAATTCAATTTGAAGGTTTATTAAAGTTGACGAGGCAATTTCTTGATATAACCGGATTTGACGGTTTCATACAAATTACTTCCGGTATCGCAGTGACAGTTTGCTCACCAACGGAAATTGAGTAATAGTTAAGTAACGAATATTAAGTTGTAATTAACTTTGGTAAAGGTTAATAGAATGTTAAAGAAGCGAAAGTATGAAATGTATATTTAAAAAAAAATTAACTAACTGTTCTTGTGATTTTATAAACAAACATACATTGTTTTCTTCTACCTTTATTAGACTTGCAGCCCTTGAGGTCTTTTCATTAATGGTTTCTTAAATAGACTCTTAAGGTAGATATCTCATACTAAACCTAAGATACAGAACTCTACTATTACTGTATACTAACTTCTATTGGTGACTTCTAAATAACTTTCAATGCAGTTTTTCAAATAAAGTACTAAATGTGCAAAACGATTAATATGGACGTTGTTTAAATTAAATATTGTTACAAACATTTGACGCCAAATTAGGTTGCTTAGGACGACCTAATTTAGCAGATATTCGCTTGCTGTATTGTGACGGTTATTCGGTGTCAATTTTTAACATTTTTTGTATCTACGTGTGGTTCCCAACCTGGGGTACGTGCGCAGACCGACTTGGTATAATAACCAATAAATGACTTTTGCCCACCTTGTTAGTTGTTTTCTCAGGCTGATACGGCTTACGATAACCTTGCTCTTCTACACTATGTATATACCATGTTAAAATTAAATTAATAAACAATCAATACATTAAAAGTTTGTAATAAATTTCATAATGAAAAGAGAAACTTTACAAACACTCGTTTACATAAATTTCATAACAAATTATAATTAATAAACGGTCGTAAGAGTTAATAATAATGAAACAAAATTAATGGAGGTTTGCCAACAAATGGAGCGTAATGGTTAATTAAATCCTCTTTTGACGTAGCTGATCAATTTTAGACCTGTGTTTGTTAAAACGAGTAAACATAGCTATAACTTAATTATCACATGAGCATATGAAATACATTTATGAAATACGAATGAAAAATTTATAACATTTACAAATGAAATTAAGAACTGGGAATTCCAAAAAAAATCTGAAAATCTCATTTTGAAAAAATTTCTCTAGTCATTAACAAAGCAGATATTTTTTTAAAGAATTTTCGTATTACTTGAGTACATATTAAAGGTTTAATTCTAATATAATCCTTCAGCCAAACAAACAGTCGACGAAGCAATTACATGGGGAGATTGTGTTCTAAGCAATCTGATTGTTTAATGTTCCGCTTACGAGAGATTCCGAACAATTGTATTAGAGATA